AGTCAATAAACTCAGCTGCTGATGCACCTGCTATAAACTTTAGAGCTATTAATCTATTAATTTATTGAATTGCTTTATCCATTCATTAATCTGGTATTATATAACGTAATCCATAAAATTTATTTTTAATTACTGTATATAAAGGGTTTTATGCAGAAACCCTAGATCTGACGTGCGTCGAGGGTTGTGGAGGTAGAGGTGTAAGTAAACTTACAAATTGGAAAAATAAAATAAAATTGTGTATGAACTTGCAAATCCTAAGCAGATAGTGTCTAATGTGAAAGGTGTATGTGAGTGAAGAATCCATGATATGTTGTCTTTTTCTGACAATTACTCTCTGAAGTGGACAAATCTCACCTTTCTTAAATTTAGTCCAAAATAGCATTAATTAGTTGTGCTTTAATTCTACTATTTAACAACTTGGTCAATTCTCCAGATTATAGATGTTGAATTGTACCTCAAAGGATAATTGTGGATATCACCAACTTCTGGAGATGCAATGCAAGCAAGCTGTTAATAATCATTCATGCACCTCACAGGATGAAGCTAACACACAACACAGAAGCTCGATGCTGGAGTCACAGCTTAATGGTAAAAAATGCCGAGAATAGTAAAGTCATGTGATATAAGATTAGATTCATAATCAACAAGAGCTAGTTACCCCTTCAAAAAGATAAGAACACTGAACAGTATGCCGTATCTTTGCGATGTAGATGTTGACTGATTACCTTTAATTTGTTTTTCAGAGTTTGGCGGCCAATTTATCAGAAAAAAACACAACCAGTCAATAAAATCAGCTTCATACATGTCAATTTATCACTTTAATAATTTATATACTTTATATTGAATGAATATACAAATTGATATTATGATAAATCCAATCCTACCCTTGGTATATATCTTCATTCTCTTCTTTTATAACTTTCCATGGGGTAGGAAACGTTCGTTTTCCTTATGAGCTCATCTCCCATTGCTTGCCTTAATTTAAACAAAAAGTCTCACCGTACAGATGTACTATTGTTTGTACCTCAAGTTGATCATCCATTGATGTTAATTTATTTAAGAAATTAAAGTGGAAATTAAATTTCTTACCTGCCGAAGAAAATTATGGAATTGAGGATCCAGGAAAGTGTTTTTCCACAACTGAGAAGGACATTGCATCTCACATATACGGAATTCTCTCGATCGTACGTGGAATAGATATAATCAAATAATATTCTAAGTGAGCGGGACAACACGTGGTTTGAATAGTAAAATATTGAATGTTAAACTCTTCCCTTCAGAAATTGCTGATCAGTTTAATAGTATGACATTTAACCAAAAGCAAAATGAACCCTTGGATATACGTTACATATATACTTTGCCTTATGAAAGAGAAACAATATTTCCATGCATGTGAATGCACTTAAGATTCCTTACATGAATTCGTTGACAGAAAGATTTTTGAAGAGGCTGGACAGAAACAATAATGCATACGCCCTTAATTTACTGGGTACTCGAGGTTTTAGAATTAAGGTGAAGTTTGCGTTTTCAATTCATCAAGTATGCTTTATTATGTGANATCCATAAAATTTATTTTTAATTACTGTATATAAAGGGTTTTATGCAGAAACCCTAGATCTGACGTGCGTCGAGGGTTGTGGAGGTAGAGGTGTAAGTAAACTTACAAATAGGAAAAATAAAATAAAATATTGTATGAACTTGCAAATTAAATCCCAAGCAGATAGTGTTTAATGTGAAAGGTGTATGTGAGTGAAGAATCCATGATATGTTGTCTTTTTCTGACAATTAATCTCTGAAGTGGACAAATCTCACCTTTCTTAAATTTAGTCCAAAATAGCATTAATTAGTTGTGCTTTAATTCTACTATTTAACAACTTGGTCAATTCTCCAGATTATAGATGTTGAATTGTACCTCAAAGGATAATTGTGGATATCACCAACTTCTGGAGATGCAATGCAAGCAAGCTGTTAATAATCATTCATGCACCTCACAGGATGAAGCTAACACACAACACAGAAGCTCGATGCTGGAGTCACAGCTTAATGGTAAAAAATGCCGAGAATAGTAAAGTCATGTGATATAAGATTAGATTCATAATCAACAAGAGCTAGTTACCCCTTCAAAAAGATAAGAACACTGAACAGTATGCCGTATCTTTGCGATGTAGATGTTGACTGATTACCTTTAATTTGTTTTTCAGAGTTTGGCGGCCAATTTATCAGAAAAAAACACAACCAGTCAATAAAATCAGCTTCATACATGTCAATTTATCACTTTAATAATTTATATACTTTATATTGAATGAATATACAAATTGATATTATGATAAATCCAATCCTACCCTTGGTATATATCTTCATTCTCTTCTTTTATAACTTTCCATGGGGTAGGAAACGTTCGTTTTCCTTATGAGCTCATTTCCCATTGCTTAGCTTAATTTAAACAAAAAGTCTCACCGTACAGATGTACTATTGTTTGTACCTCAAGTTGATCATCCATTGATGTTAATTTATTTAAGAAATTAAAGTGGAAATTAATTTTCTTACCTGCCGAAGAAAATTATGAAATTGAGGACCCAGGAAAGTGTTTTTCCACAACTGAGAAGGAAATTGCATCTCACATATACGGAATTCTCTCGATCGTACGTGGAGTAGATATAACAACATAATATTCTAAGTGAGCGGGACAACACGTGGTTTGAATAGTAAAATATTGAATGTTAAACTCTTCCCTTCAGAAATTGCTGATCAGTTTCAGTTTACATATATATACTTTTCCTTATGAAATAGAAACAATATTTCCATGCATGTGAATGCACTTAAGATTCCTTACATGAATTCGTTGACAGAAAGATTTTTGAAGAGGCTGGACAGAAACAATAATGCATACGCCCTTAATTTACTGGGTACTCGAGGTTTTAGAATTAAGGTGAAGTTTGCGTTTTCAATTCATCAAGTATGCTTTATTATGTGAGGTAATGCGGTTACCCTAACAAAATCGACTAATTTAATCTCGTTTTAGGTCAGCTTTAGGGGCGGTCCAAAGTCAATATTATGTGTTCATCCGGAAAAATCCAAGCAGTCAATAAAGTCACCTTATTCTCAACAGTCTCTCTCTCTCTCTCTCTCTTGTATGAGGGTATATCATAAGAGTAAACAACTTTTTCCCACCCAAGGTTTGCCTTAATTACACTTTTCCACCCAAAACATTTAAAAATACCATTTTCCCACCCAAAGTTTATATTCCGTTAATACCCAAAATACACTTCTCTTTCTTAGCCAACATTCGACAAGTTACTAAGAGTCAGGGCAAGATATGTTTTCTAGAGTGGAGGATAGTGGATTGAATGGTACTGGTGACCGATTAAATATCTGCTGTCGAAATCAGTAAAAAATTAGCTAAAAACAGAAAACTCTAATTTTGTGGTGGTCGACAATCAGTGAGAAATTAGGTACTGCAGTGAGAGAGATTTTGTAGAGAGAATACAAAATATTCAAGTGATGATGACGAAGAGAATTTTTGCCGTCAAAATATACTTTGGGCAATAATGGAATTTTAACTTTGGGTGAAAAAGTGATATTTTGAAATTTTTTTGATAGAAAAGTATAATTAAGGCAAACCTTGGGTGGGAAAAAGTCGTGTACTCTATTTCATTAACTAACAAATTTAGGTCTATTTTTAAAATTTTTCTGTCTTATTTATTTTTTCAATTAATACGATTAGTGTTGTTAATTAAAGTGAAAAAACATATGAGTGGAATCCATTGTCTCCCTATTTATCTATTCAATATACAATATCATTACTCAATACAAACACATATCAAATCAATCAAATTTTCCGTTGAATTTAAAGAACCATCAATTAAGTTGATAATTTAATTGAATGAAAGAAAAATAATATGAGCATCAGCATCAGCATCATATGAATTCATTAATTGTACGTTTTAAACCCTGATTGTTTCTCCTTCTGACAAACAAAAGTAGTAGCTGCATGCAAGCAAGTAACAGGTTAAACTTTTGGGAGCCGGCGTGGCAAAGGAAATAATTATAAAGCTAGAGTTTGAATTAGTCTGAATTTAATTTTTGAAGTATACAATAAATATTATATAGTCCATAACGGATGGCTAAAATTAATTGTGGGTGACGGCGGATATCATTAAGTTTTTGAAGGTCTGGTAAAAATTGGTCAATGTTCCTTCTACACTTGATTTTTCTGTTAGATATTTTCGCCAAAATAAATGGCTTTGAAATCTTCTTGTTTGAAACTTTGAATTTCTCTGAGAACCTGGGCTACTTGGAATCTTTTGTCAAAAGTGCAGGCCCGCTCGGCTAGATTTTTATAATTGTTTATGCAATACATACTTCCAAGCAGTAATACAAATTCTTATTAACTTTCTCTTACAAATATAACATAGTAATTTACAATTGATCAGTTTATAATAGATCTCGTCTGTCCAACAATAAATATTATATTTGTGAGAGAATGTTATTGAAAAGAGTTTGTCAACTAAATTTTATTGAACATTTTAATAGCCATTAGCTCTATAGCATTACTAATTTCATGCAGTTTTTGTTTTTGCTTTTATGGCCAGAGTGTCCAGGTTATATTATGCGTATTTCAACTAATTCTCCAAAACTTTGAAACTATCGGCTGTGTAAGAGCTCTAATGACTACTAGGGTCTCTTGAGTAAAACACCGAATAGTCTCTATTGAACCAGTGGATTATCCGGAGATAATTAATTATATTCAAATTAACCATTCACATTTGCCTCCTCTTTTAATTATTACCTAAAATTTCAAGGGATTTTATAACAAGGTAATGTTAATTATTCATGTATTATATTCTTATTTTTACCGATCACAATCACAAACTTCAATTAATTAATTAAAGAAAACTTATATGAGGAAATTCTGGAACAATGAGTAATCGCATACACCTTATTAGACTGAATAAAAATTAAAAAATAACTGAAGTCTTTGAATGATCAGCAGATGGAAGACTTTTTCTCATGACTCTTAATCTCTTGTAGCCTTATAATCTCTTCATAATGAAAGCACTGACTTGACCAAACGCAAGTACCGCTCAACATTCTGGTAAGCAGCTTGATTCTATATATATAAAGAGCTTCTACTTAATTTGAGACTGTATATACAAGTCCAAAATAGTAGTAAAGACGGAGAGAGATGGAGGTGGCAAAGATGAGTACGTTGTCAGGTAACAATAACGATGAAGAAGTTATGCTTCCAGGGTTTCGGTTTCATCCTACTGACGAAGAGCTTGTTGGCTTTTACTTGCGACGAAAAGTGGAGAAGAAGCCTATCAGTATTGAAATTATCAAACAGATCGATATCTACAAATACGATCCATGGGATCTTCCAAGTAAGATCTAGTTATAGTTTTTCTTTATTTTTTCTTATTTTTTATATATAAAAGGTTCAACTTCATAGCTCAAACTCCAGAATCCTTGATGAAGATAACTGGAATTGAAGACTTTCTCCCTTTTAAATTTCTTCTTTGCTGCATAAAATCTCTACCCGTAAAACTTAAGATATGCATGCCAATATATAGGAGAGAAAAGCAAATTAATAAAGATATATACCAGTTGCTCAAACCACCATGGTGTTCTCAACTTCTCTTCTTAATCTGTCTAATATTGCAAAGCAGTTCTAGAAAATAAATTCGGGATTATAATTTATTTAGTAATTTACATGTTGGTGCAACCTTAATTTTCAATTCCAAAACGACAGGATTTATATATATAGCATGCATCAAGAAAGTTCCATTTGAATCAACCATTTTATATATGTCAATCGCCAAGCATATTTATATTAGCTAGTGAAGGGTTTGAAGCTAATCTTTCTTTTAGGATTCTGTACTACTGCACATCTAGTTTGGATATGATATGATCCAAATTGAAAAGAAGAAAGAAAGTTAAGTATCCATCTTGCCGGCTTACTAATGAAAATCGGACGCTTCAAAAGGAAAAAATAATAAAGTAAAAGGAAAAAACAAAGCATGATTTTCGCTCCTTTAATCACACCTGTTAAGACTAAAAAAAACTATACTTTAAGGTTAAAAAAGTTTATATTTCAGTATCATCTGCGACACTTGTAGCTAATGAGCATTTTCTTAATATAATATATTTTATTTTCTCTAAATTTCAGCAATTTATATCTATATTGTTTATTGACTAATTTGGCTCCGTATGTTCTTAATTTCTTGTTTGTGATGATTATAATGAAGAAGTTAGCACAGTGGGTGGTGATCACAGGGAGTGGTACTTCTTCTGCATAAGAGGAAGGAAATACAGAAACAGCATTAGGCCAAATAGAGTGACAGGATCTGGATTTTGGAAAGCCACAGGCATTGACAAGCCCATCCATTCAGTAAAAGAACCTCATGATTGCATTGGCCTCAAGAAATCTTTAGTTTACTATCGAGGTAGCGCTGGTAAAGGCACAAAAACTGATTGGATGATGCATGAGTTTCGTCTTCCACCAAATACAAAAAATATCAAAGACATTGCAAACCAAGAAGCTGTAAGATTAATATTTCTTTCTAATTATGCAGTTCTTTCATTCTTAGTTGTTGATTCTTTGCGCTCAGTTTTTGTTTGTTATATGAAATACTTTTTATTTGCTCCAAAAGGAAGTGATTAAATGCATGAAAGTCTCTCATCCTTGCATTATGTCATAGTTATGAAAATTATATACTTTGTTCACTGTGCTTAACTGAACTAGTTATATACACTTTCCAAGCTTGAGAGATATAAGAATCTTATAGTCAAATATATGTATATATGTGTGATCATTTCATACCTGATGTAGATTATATATTGATGAATAAAATATAAACTAGTCGATCATTGAGTAAGTTTTCAGACTGATGAATTATTAGACAACTATTTGTATGTTGAAATGTATCTCTCAAATGCAACTAATCGAATTCTTTTTCTCAGCAAACCAAAAGTCCAAATCTGTCTAATGGAAATATGAAAAAACCATGTGCTAATTAGAGAAAATTGTATGCAAATGAGGTATGCCGCAACGTGTTTAATTATAATTGTATTTAATGGAAATGTAACTATACTGTACTAAGATTACTGACCTGGTAACCAAATTCAAGGACTTAGAGTTAGAACTCTTATAAATTTTTTTTTTTTAAGCAAAAAAAAAAATTATTTGGGGTGGGCATCAAGTACGTTTTCGTTGTTTAGTCGGTCATTTAATTTGGTTGCCAAAAAAAAGTAAATTCAAAATTAACCATTAAATTTCTAGAGCTGAACTGAACGAGTCTTTTCTCTTTTAATGGTTTGCAGGAGGTCTGGACACTATGCAGGATTTTCAAAAGAGTGCCAACATACAAAAAGTACACACCACCTTTTAAACAAAACGTCCCAACTAATTCAAGTTCAAAAACCTGCAGCTTGGAATCTGATATCAGCAGTGAGCAGTACATGTATTTTGGAGATTCAGGTCTTCAACTACAAAAAGAAAGGAAACCACCACCTACCTTTATCAACCATGTCGATGAAAGAAACCATCTGTTTACGAATCAGTTTAATTCTGCAGCACACTCTCCAAATAGTACAGTAGCCTCTTATTCGAGCTTTTGGAATCCAAGAGGAGATGATTTCTTTACATATGGAAACTGGGATGAGCTTCGATCAGTAGTTGAGCTAGCAACTGACCAATCTCACTTGTATCATGACTGTAGATAAACATTATAGTAATTAGGAAATTTAATAAAATATTTAGAGGGAGCTATAACAGTACTTCATCTTTTTGTCGCCATATTTACTGCGTTACTTTGAGTATTTACATGTCATGATAATCTGCTGATATACTTGTATACCAGAGCCAATTGTATATTCATACGAATTCAGGAGGCCAGATAGGTGTACGAGAAGAATATGAAGCTGCATGCAGATTTCCAGAGCATCAATACTTATCAGAAGCTTTGTTTTTTTTTTTTTGGCAGAAGTTAGAAGCTTCAACTCCGTTGATTTGGCTACGTTCTTAATTATTAGTTTACACATGAATTATTAAACTTACTCATTATTAGCTTGCTGTTAGAACCTTCCTCTTGATGTATGGAAATATGTTACATGTATATGACATATAGCTGGTTTTTATTTTTTTTTCATGTCATTGTTTGGCTTTTTTTTTTTTTTTCTTTTGATAATTTATATGATAAATAACTTTTAAGTCTTAATAATAATAATCCCATTATATGTGGTGTTATTTTAAGAGAAAGAATACAACTTAATGGATTGATTTTAGATACTATATGATTTCATAACGGTGGGTTGATATATTGTTAATCGGATACATGTAAACACAATTTTATGTCATATTCAGCTACCGATTCATGAATTGTAATAAGCCAACGAATTGAAAAATAAATAAATACTGGTAGTAGTTTCCAGTCACAGTCACTTGATCGAGTCAACGCGCGACTTATAAAAGCCAAAGCTCGTACCAATTTTTAGACTAGACCAATTAATTAATCCATAAACTATAAAGTAAGTCAAATAAATTATTTGAGAAGAAATAAAGAAAAAAAATTTTGATTGATCATTGTCAAACGATGATCGCGGGCGATTTGCTGTCACGTGAACATAATTAATTGGCAGTGGCGACACCAATTTCAGTCAAAGTTAAGAATGAAGATCAATGATTATGTCTCACTGTATACCCTTGATTATATCTCTTTTCGTATGAAAATTTATTTATATTTCCTCATTCGAACAACAGAATTCTCCGGTGAAGTAAATCAAATTATGGTACAATGATTTACCAGAAAGCTGTTTTGATAAACAAATGAACTAATTCAGGGGATGCCTGAATTAAATTACCTCTCCAGAAATAATTCGGATGTCCGTCCTTAATTTTACAACTTAAAAAGTAATGCCAAAAAATTTATATCATAAAGTCTCCCTATAGCTTCAGTATGTAAACAAACAAAAAAAAAAAAAAAGGTAAAAAGTTTACATTTCTTCCGTCAAGTATATTTTTAGTTTACATGTAAAGGCTGTTGGCCACCGTAAATGCAGTCAATTTGAAAATCAAGGCTGATGAAAAGAATTTGCTCCTTGCTCATGGTGATTATTAACAGGTGAGCTAACAACTGGGATATCTAGACTGCTTCCTTCCGTCTCTGGCGCAACTTCTCTAACATCAGCTATCCTAGCCTCTGTTGCCTGAATGTCACTCCATTCTCCATCACCAATAGGCCGGATGTTGACCTGATCAACTGCCACATGGACCACGCTCTCCCCTGGAACTGGTACTGCTCTAGACACACTTAGACAAGCTTTATCCACATTCTCATCTGACAAATCTACATCCTTTGTCATCGGTTCAGAGTTACCAATACTTGAGGACTCAGTTTTCTCCTCAAAAACTTGTTTTGTGTCAATCTGCTGTCTGTTAACAGAAACAGAGTATTATTAGTATCTACTATAATTCCCCATAAGGTATCCCTGACAACCTCACTTCTAGTTGAAGGATCCAACATTCTCAGGTTTTTGTAAACCTCTTTAATAGATTTATTTCCTCTTCCAGTCATCCCAATGCTTAATTAACATGATAAGATACTGTAAAATATAATAATTGCAAGAATTTGAGCCCCAAAGGACGCGAGAATTGAAAGAATCATGAACTTGTTTAAAGCAGAATGCCCCCAATAAGGGCTAAGAGAGATAGATGACAAACCTTTGAAGTTGAGCCTGTAGCATACTCACGTATGCCAGAAGCTCTTCCTTGCCTTTTAAAGCAGCTGCCTCTTTCTGAGCAGCCTCCTTTATTCGAGCTTCAGCATCTGCTTCAGCAACCCTGACCTTCTCCTCTCCTCTCACAACAGCTGCTTCCAAAATCACAACACGTTCCCTAGCTTTTGCGAGCTCAGAACGCCATAGATGTGCTTCTTGAAAAGCAGAGTCTCTCTGCTTAATCAATTGATCTCTTTCTTTACTTAGAGCCATGACTTTTTCTTCATACTCTTTCAGCTGCAGATTAGGAAAAAAAAAAAACAAATGAGAAACAGTTACAGTAATACATAATATAATCAAGCATAAAAGTTTACATTCTTCTTATCAATCCAAACATAAAACAAAGACATCATAAAGTGACATCTCAACACTGCACATTTACATTTTTCTTGTGAAGTAAATTAGAACTAATAGTAAGGAACATTAAGCATTTGTTTAACATGGCTTCTGAAATGGTTTAAAGAACTTTTTCTTTCATGCAGAAACACTTTTCAATCTCTTTTAGTTGTTTGACTGCACCTTAAGAAGTAATTTTAGGTCTACAAGGAGAAGCTCAAATCATCTCTGAATCTAAAAAATCTGACGGGTTTATTTATCAGCTCATTATGGAAATATTTAAATACATAAAGCACCCTTTTGACAACAGTTTTACAATTGGTAGACAAACTAACAACAGCAATTCATCAAGAGGTCCTAAATGTAAAGCTACTAATAAAAGCTTTACTGGCAAAAACTCTACTTGGATCATCTGTATCAAACAGAGCCTTAACCACATACTTCTTGAATGGATACTAACAAAAGCTTTACTTGCAAAAACTCTACTTGGACCATCTGTATCAAACAGAGCCTTAACAGCATACTTCTTGAAAGATGGTTTTCTTTTAAATTGATTATTCTATATCATAGAACATATAATAGATTAAGCTACATAACAATTCATTGAACAAAATAAAAAATTATTAGTACCTTAGACATGGACATCTCCAATTGTTTCAAAGAATCTTTTGTTATACGTTCTATTTCAGCACAAGCAATTTTCCTTTGTTCATCCATTGTATGAGCTGCAGATGCTGCAGCCTCCGCAGCTTCAGCAGTCTCAGATAATTTATCAGCTATCTCTCTTATTGTTGAATCACGAGCACGAAGGTCCCTAGCTAAATTTTGTAGTTCCTCATCCTTGACTTGTAGTGTCTCCTGTAAGAGATTATTTCATAATACTGATGTTCAGTAACAGAATTAATGCCGGCTTAATAAATAAATAAAAAATTTAAAAAAAAAAAAGTGGCCAATCTGCAGGGGGTAATGTGCCTTGCGTGATCAGTATTGGGCAGAAAATATTACATTTAGAAGAACTGAATTACAGACAGAGTGTCATAATAACAAATGGAAAAAGTTAAAAAAAAAAAAAAAACTATTTTGGAGAACTGCAGGAGGAGTACATTCATAATGGTGAGATCATCCATAGGACCATCAGTAACTCTATTTTTCACCATTCCAAGAGCATTTCTCAACGAGATCTGCATTGCAGCTTCAATTTCTTTAGAACATTCCGTCGCTGTTGAATTCGCAGCAGCAACAACTGTAGCAACTGTTCCTAACCTTGCAGAGCCTTTTCCACTTAAGGAGTTTACAGCCTCCTTATGGGCTTTCAGGACCAATTGTGCTGCACTGGTAGTTGGAAGTCAACAGAAAAAAGAGAGGTACAGAGAAGAGAAAATCAGCAACGATATCAATATAAGGAGTAAAAAATATGACTAAAATGGTCCTGAAAGAGGTGAACATGTCATTTATAGTACCAACAAAGATCCAATGCAAAAAATAAGTTAGCCCAGCACCAAAACATTAATTGAAAGAAGTAGGAGTCCCCCTGGAAAGCTAAAATCTCAGAACTCCCTCTGGAAAGCTAATGTATATATATGAAGTATAATCCTTCAACCTCATAACTGACAATCACCAAATGCAATACCACCACAGTAAAATACAGTATGGAAGAAAGAAAACCTCCAAAGTTAGTTTTCTTTCACTTAAAAAAACTTTTATTATAGTATCAATTACATAAGTAAGAGAAAAGGTGCTACAACACATACTGCCTAATTACACTCAAAACTTTTTTTCACAATTAGTTTTGAGCACAACATTAGACTCTAACAATGATAATAACATCATTTCTTTTCAAATGCAGTTTGATATCCAAATTTATCATGAACTTTCTAAAAGTTTAACTTCATCACAAAGGACAGCTAGCTGAATTAGCGAATGACTTCTAATCTCCTTCTGTATGAATATCATCACATCTAGTTACTGATTAGCAATTAATTTGGAATATGCCTTTTAATAATGAAAAAGGTCAACCAAAAATATGATAGTAAAGTCATTTAAATTGTGAAGCCAGGGTCCCCAGCTGTATGGAAGAAATGAAATGACAATGCTTTATTCGAACATGCAGGACAACTATTCACGATAGAAAAATTGAAAAGTAAATTAAAATAAACCCACACCAAAATACTTACTGTAATGTTGCAACCCAGGCTCTAGCAGCACCAGGAGTCTCAGCACAAAGGAAGTAGTCTTTTTTCTGTGGAGTCCCAATATCTAAACAATACAGTTAAGAAAAACTGCAAGTAAAGCAACACCAGCTTCACCATAAAACAGAAGTTTTTGACTGAACCAAAAAACTGCAAACTCGAATCTATTTTTTTTTCTTAAAAAAAAGAAGATTAAATTTATATGGATACAGAAACAACAGCCATCGTACTTGGGAAGTCCACTGGATTACAACAAACAGAAAACAGTGTTAATAACCATCCAAGTTAGTTTCTCAATCGAAAAACTAATAGCAGTCATGTAACCAAGCAGACTAATTCCAAAACATTGATCTTACTGGAAGTTCACAGGAGACACTGTGATTGTGCTGTTTTCATCAAATGTAATTATTCCCTTGACGGTTGGCTCATTTCTCCTTGTCCTAAATCACAGAATCAGCAACAATTGATGTGTCGCAATGAAAAGATTCAAGCACATAGCTAAAAATATACAGCAAAAAG